TTGGTTCCTCTGAGCAGGTTCCGCAGAATCGGCGAGGGCGAAAGCACTGGTGGCTTCGACAATTTCTTCGATGTATGCGACCGTTGTTCCTTTATTCACATGTTTGTACTCATTGCTGAAATTTGTGAGCATAACCGTTGCTTTGCCTCCCCGCAACTCTGCAATTCCTCTTGCGACGCAAATATTTCGGGTGACCAACAGATGCTGACTGCCTTCAACGACGCCTTCGAAGTCAGGTGATTCAGGAGCGCCGACTGAAATAATGACGCTTGAGCGAGGCGGAATGGTGACTTGTTCTTCCAGCACATTCAAGGCATGGTGTCCAGACGGCGTGTGCGGCGGTAGTGCTTCTTTTGTGGATAACGTTATCGACTTTGTTTTTAGGTTGATGACAGCACCATGGAGGCATAAGAAGTCCATGCCAAGGATGACATCTCTCGAGCAACGCTGTAGGACTACGAAGTCTGTAGGATAAATACGGCCGTTAATGGTGACTCTCGCTGTGCAGATTCCTGCAGGCGTTACGAGATGACCTCCGGCTGTGCGGATTTCAGGGCCTTTCCAAGCTGTCCTAACTTTCTTTAACTTCGCGGCGAACGACCCACTGATGACAGAATAGTCGGCTCCAGTATCGACGAGAGCGGTCACACTGTAGCTGTCGATAAGGACGTCGATGTCGCTAGTTCGCCGTCTCGCATTACAGTTAGGGCGTGGCGTCGGGTCACGGCTGCGTCGGCTTGTTCCGCTGCTTCCATGTTGCGTCGTCAGGCCACCTTCGGTAAGTGAGCTTTCGCCGTCAGGGCGTTGCCTGGTTGGCGTTGTGTTCGGAAAGCTCCGTCGCGGCGTCGTCGTCGTCGGAGGATCTTCGGTAGTTCGTCGCACAGCAACCGCACCTCCACCGGTTGCTGCCCTTAGTTTCCCGGATACGGGCTAGGAGACCGGCCCCGCGTTGGGCCAGAGTACTGTCGGTGGTGCGGGGACGTGCGGCGGCTGGGCGACGGCGAACGGGAAGGGCTTCGTGGTGTCCACCGAGTTCCTGTCAGGTAGTCGGCGATGTCACGTGGTCGTTCTCCTGGCTGTGGGCGCGGTGCATTGACGGCGAAGCCACGCAATCCCATCTGTCGGTACTGGCAACGGCGGTATGTGTGTCCGGCCTCGCCGCAGTGGTAGCAGAGCGGGCGATGGTCAGGGGTGCGCCAGACGTCAGTCTTCCTCGGTGCACTGCGCTGGGCCGCTGGCGAACGGTATGACGTCGGTGGGGGTGGTGGCGGCGGTGGCGTCTGTCGACGGAAGTGCGATGGGGCGGCGTTTTGGCGTGGACGGGGAGGAGCGTTGTGGCGCAGTGCAGCGGCGTAGCTCATAGCTTCCGGCTCGGACAGCGGTGCGTGGGGAATTTGAAGCGATTGCCGAACTTCTTCTCGCACAATGTCGGCGATCGAATCCACTTGAGGCTGCGCCGAAGGCAACAGCTTGCGCAGCTCTTCTCGCACGATCGCTCGGATCGTTTCACGCAGGTCTCCGGAGTTACTGGCTTGAGCAGCAGCGCAGTCTGCAGTCAGGCGACGATTATACTGCCTGGTGCGCATGTCCAGGGTCTTTTCAATAGTGGTCGCTTCGGCTACAAATTCTTGGACGGTTTTCGGTGGGTTTCTTATCAGCCCCGCGAAGAGCTCCTGTTTGACCCCTCGCATGAGGAAACGAACTTTTTTCTCCTCAGGCATGTCTGGGTCAGCGTGACGGAATAGTCGGGTCATTTCTTCTGTGAAAATGGCGACATTTTCATTTGGTAGCTGAACCCGGGTCTCTAATAAAGCAGCGGCCCTCTCTTTTCGAGCGACGCTCGCGAACGTTTGCAGGAATGCGCCGCAGAAAGCATCCCACGTTCGGAGCGTGGACTCCCGATTTTCGAGCCAGGTCCTTGCGGTGTCTTCTAAATAGAAGAACACACGACGCAGCTTTTCGTCATGGTCCCAGTGGTTGAGGGCGGCCACACGGTCGTATGTCTCTAGCCAGGACTCCGGGTCTTCGAATGATGACCCATGGAAAATTGGTGGTTCCCTGGGTTGATGCATGACCATCGTGGGCTGGGACGCTGCGGTTGTCATTGTCGCTGCAGTCGCAGTCATGGCCTTGGTCTTCCGCGGCTTGTCGTGTAGAAGCCCGTACTCCGGTGGTAGCCCTTGCTGTCGGCGGCTTGTTCGCTGCTCCTGGTTGGCGTCGGTGTCTTCTCCGCGACGTGGGCTGGGTTCACGGCTTGACGGGGGCGTCCGGTACATGAACGAAGCAGCACCTCCACCAAATGTCACGGGGTCGTGACGTGGCCGAAGACAGGAGACTTCTTGTTGGGATTTAACTGTTTATTTGGGCGAACCTGTGCCCGGTAAACAGAAAGTCCAATTACAGCAGCAGTCTCGCACAGATAGCAGTCTCAGACTGATAGCGGCGAACGGAGCGTCGGCCTTCGATCAACAACTGACAAGCGGCGAAGCGCGTCGGCATTTATACCCTTGCCGTCGAATGTTCTAGCGTTATAGCTGGCGGTGGCGTAGGTTCCAGAACAATCCGTACCGTTCGCAGAGTGGGCGTGACCTTATCGAATCGATCTACTTCAGTCCGGAACCTTCTCGAAACCTGCAGGCGTGGTTTGCGCCGAGAATCGTGTGGTGTTTCGGAACGATAACAAAAACTTGTGAAATGGAACGTGGCAATATATTACCTACACCATAGCGAATAGCTACGCCATAGCCTCGGCACCAGCGCTTTGCGGGCCTTGTGCGCCGCACGCTATTTCGAATTTTCGCGGGCCGACCACCAGCGTGAATACGGCCGCTCGCGTACGACTCATGCGCAGTGGCAGCGACAGCATGGGCTTGCGGTGTGCTATTATGAAATTCCCTAACATGACGCACACACGACACGGCAGCCTTTTGTGACATTGGATATGACAGGCCCTGAGGTCGTCCTGCACTCACCATGTTGGTTACCACGTATACTGCGGAATGCTGCATGCCTGCTGCATGCACGTGTGCAGTGAATTCGAAAATCCTGGTTAATGAACCAGGGTGTTGTAAACGACTGAAGTAAACGACTTGAGTAAATGACTGAAGAGTGGTGTAAAACAATGCCAGGAACGTGCATACATACATCAACATGTTCAGCACTGCAGTTCCTCACACACCAATATGTGTTGCAGCAGCACTCCCTCGAATCTTTCGTGTCTGGGTTCGCAACATTTTTGTATAAACGCCTTACTCGCGTTTACTGATCTAGAGTATCATGCTACAGGCTTGCCGTAAGGCACATCTTTCCAGTACTTTCTAAAGAACATATTCTTTATCCACGATAGCTGTGCAAGTAGACGTCAAGCGGAAGCGGGAGAGCAAGCACTTTGCTTTAAATCTGAATGAGTGCATGGAGCACTGATAAAACAGAGCAGTATCAAGAAACTACCACGAAACCGATTAAGTTGGGATGTTTTACAAGGTGTCCAGAATAACCCTTGCCGAATAATACAGCCACAAAAAGCGCAAGCATGGACAAGGAAGAACGTTCCAAAACATTCCATTCACTGTGCTGTCACATAAGAAAGTGATAAAAATGAAGCACAACGACATTCAGTAACAGCTTTGTATTATCACCGAGCCGTTTTTATGTACTATAACTTTCCAAGTTAAGCGCAAGGCTCCGCCGTGGCAACATGACAATGAAGCATCACAGCGCCTTTTAGGGCACTTCCCTTCCTCCAAAATAAAGCCTAGAACTGACCTTTTTACCATGCAGCAGTGATGGAAGCGACTGTTTTACTTTTTGGAGCATAGTTTGGAGCTGGAAAAGTGCTGCTTTGTATGTCTTCGGAGCAGCCATGGCGTTTTAGGAGCAGATACGAAATTCACCTTGCACCAAAATTGAGTTTTGAAGCACTATCACAGCATCTCGTAAATGTTAATATTTATTATAACATACTTAACAATCCACAATCGACGTGAAATCGACGTAACAAACGACGTGAACACCTCTCTTTTGGAGCCGTTCGGAGAAATGGGAGCAGCACTTCCATCAATCAATTGCAGAGCTCAGAGAATAGTGCAAGGCGGCAAGACACAATCAGGCGTCACTTAGTGACAAGGTGCACGTGTATGAGTACAAGGAACAGTGCCAGTCTGAACACTTCGACTGTCTTCAGAATGGACAAGAATGATATTTAGGATTTTACATGCCAACTGCGATATGATTGCGAGGCCCCCCGCTGTGGTAGAGGACTCCGGAAGTCCCGACCATCTGGAATTCTTTAACGTGCACTGACATGACACAGCACACGGGCTTTTAGCATTTCGCCTCCACATACAGGGTAGCCAGCCGGTCAGAGAACTGGCTAACCTCCCTGTCCTTCCTCTTTCAATCCTCCTCCTTCTCGCCTCCACTGAAATGCGACCGCCGCGGCCAGGATAGAACACGCGGCATTCGGGTCAGCAGCCGAGGCAGACCTCAGCTGGACAAGAGTCAAATTTCTGTAAGTAACGGAACGAAAGTAAAGATGGAATAAGAGGTGTCTTGAACTGCGTGCCTACTCGATGCAACTGGTTAGTGGTGGCCCACCACTGACCAAGTGGTTTCGGTTTCAGCGCCCCCCCCCCCCTCCTTCCAGTCAACGTCTTCAACACATACCCGCGACGCCCTTTTTAACGACTCGACACTGAGGGCTGACGACCTCGAGAAGACAAGCCCGACCCGAAGCTTGGAGCGAAGGAACACCTAGCAAACCACAGCCGAAGGCTGGGCTGGAATATGCGGCCGACCAGCATCACGGCAATAGAAGAAGAAGCGGTTGGCGCGATGTAGCGCATGCACGCACGTTGCCCGTGGCTCGGGCTGAAACAATGGAACCGCCCGCAGCTGCCACCAGGATTTCCGAACACAACGTGGTGGGCTTTCGGATGGTCGGTGTCTGCGTGGCCTGCTGCCTCCCCCATCTGCGGCCACCGCAAAAGTCCTGAAGAACCATGAGCAGCGGAGCCAGGGAGCTGCCTGCGCGCAGCGTCTCCTCGGCACAGTGCCTCAGTCGAGAGGGCTACACCGTCGGAAGGACCATTGGCGAGGGCTCCTACTGCCGGGTCAAGTAAGCCTCGCCCGCGCGCCAGCCCAGCCGGGCTCGGGTCCCTCCCCGAGCCCGGCACGGGCCGGTCGGCACAGACCGACCATATATTCTCAAATATCTTCCGAATTCGATGCGCATCCCTTCGTGACAGTTCAATTAAACATTCGGCCACACTATTTTTGTTAGATTTTTCCGTTTTTTTGTGCGGACTAGATCGTTCCGACGGCGGGACCTTGTCTTTTCGTCTCCACTCCTGTGGTATCCCGGCTCCGCTTCCGCGAGGATTTCGAGACCGCAAAATCTGCAGAGCCCCCGCTATGGTCTTTTTTGCGGCACGGCACTCCGGCGTGTAGTGTTTCGTGTGTTTCTGCGAAAACTTATGTTGGATTAACGGTCGCTGTGTTTGCCCTTAAGATCGTCCCAGCTGCCCGCGAGTCCAGGCCGGGTACTTCAGCGGGGCCCTTAACACTATGGAGGTTGAGTTTAAAGCTGTTCAAGCTTGGACATGGTGAGGGCTACGATTAGTTATGTGCGACATTTCAGAGTACTTCGTAGGGCAGGCAGATGGTAAATACGAGGTTGTGTAATGTTCCAGAAACTTCCAGATGCCATTGGTCATTCGACGAGCTCTTTCATGCAGGGTAGCCAATCGGAACTTCGTCCGATTTTTCTCCCTATTATTATACGCATTTTTCTTTTACTTTCGCGATTTCTTGCACAGAAAGGTTGTCACAAATAGCATATTTGTGTATAACGAAAAAAAGTTTAAGTCACGGCAACGGCTCAAGGTATGCACGGCGTCAGCAGGCGCGTGCTTTCGATTTCTTTCTAACAGGCGCAGCTAAAGTAACGGCGGCTTTCAACTTGAAGGGACACTAAAGTCAAATAACAAATTACGTGAGAGTGAAAGCTCAATATATTACAACGTCTAAAACGACAATATTATCCACAGCAGTGCTCTATACTTTCTGAGAAAGGTAAATGGACTAGAACACACGTGCGCCGCAGTAGGACATTCTCAAAATGATCCCGATGACGTCATAGTTACAGCCTACAATTAATCACTAGTAATTGAACTAGCTGCCCTAAATAAAAAACCTTCCGTGCATCAAGAGACGTAATAAAATTATACTTGTTCGTTTCTGTTTTATTCACGGAAAAAAGAATCGGTGGACGTTACTATGGGAAATGGCGCGAGTGGTTCAAATATTCAATTTTCGCCTGGTTAAACTGGACATGTCGTGCCATCTAGCGAGGCCCATTTGAATCGAGCCCATCTGCCATCTCGGAACCAGTCATTCAGTCAGTCAGTCAAGAACTTTATTCAACGGGCCTGAGAAGCTTAACCCACCAGGTTTGTAACGAAAGACATCCCAGCAGCCGCTACTGTAGGCGACGCGCCAGGCGGGGCGGGAACGCGGTGGCATTTCGCCAGTTCTTGAGCCCTCTTTTTCGGAGATTGGGGCTCCTGAGTGCCTCCTCCCAGTCCGACTCACTGGTGAGAGGTCCTCTATATTAACGCGGGACATTGCCAGAGCATGTGTTCGAGTGAACAGCACACTTCTGAGCCGCCAAGCATTGTCAATCTATGTCCGAACCAATGGCAGGACATTGTTCAATGGCAGGAAATCGTTCAATGGCCGTTGTTGCTGCTGCGGCTCCCGCTGCTTTCGTTCTGCTGGCACTATAGCGTCGGCGGCCGCGCAATACGGCCGGGCAACGTTATGCCCGGCAACTGACGTGAGACGTTCTACTTGATGCGGGTAATTTTAAGTGTGCTAACCCGATACGGGCCACCAAAACGTGATTTTATTTCAACATAAGCACTTCCTTGGCACAAAAATAACGTTACCAGGTTTCCAAACCGTTATTTCAACAATCAACGTCGACTTAATAGTTGCCTTCAGTGTCCCCTTGATATTTTGCGGCTATACATATATGAAATACTACCGATATCCGCTGGTGCGCCAAAGCATTTGAGTGCATCATAACCGTGTACATTATTACAGTGCAGCTGTAATCAAGCAGGTAAGACACGTTCTTGATTTCCAGGTGTTCTTGATTTGCATGCCCACGAACAGGAAAAAAAAAACGAGAACTTCCCCGAGGAAGCGACGTCGTCACGTAATGACGAAATCGTGCTACGTCATCATGACGTAAAAGATAGTCAAGTTATGTGATGTCACTATTAAGTTACATCATCTCTCTCGATGACGTCATAGATCGCCCATTTTGGCGACGTCATTTTGCCGTCAATGCAAAACGAGCGCGATGACGTCATCGACTGGCATCGTCGGTCAAAGGTGGTTTGGTACCGGGGAGAGAGAGAGAGATAAAGATGCAAGGAAAGGCAGGGAGGTTAACCAGACGCACATCCGGTTTGCTACCCTGCACTGGGGAAGGGATAAAGGGGAGAAAAGAGGTTGCAGAAAGATGAGAAGGTACACACAATCACGAGCACACTCGGGGAGCACACACAGTCTACAGGCGGTCGCTCAGGTTTGTGGACTTAAGGTAAAGTAGCAGTGCTTTAGTTGGTACCGGAGGCTGCGCAGAAAACCATGCGGTGAATAAAAGTAGAGCAGTACATCTTTCGTACGTGTTTCGCCGCGTCGGTCGAATGCTGCGTTAGCTCAGTCATGCATGGCAAGTATAATAGTCGATTGCTCACTATGAGAACGCCGAAGGAGCAGCTCGCTGGGGAAGACCACCGACGAGATTATAGACGAGAATGCAGCCGCCGTTAGCTACTCCAGTCATTCACCTTCGCTGAGGGGAATGACCCTAATTTGTATTATTTTTTTGTTAACATAGTATCGTAATGTCTGGTTAGTATGAATGTATCATAGGCTTAGATTTTTTTTCTGTCACATGCACAGCGCAATATCTTAACAAATGAGTTTTACCCATTTTTATGCGATATTCATTTCTCCATCAATATTCATTTGAGCCACTCGTGAGGACATTCTTCAGTAGTTCAAAGTACTGTGATTGTGTCGGGATTATTTCGACATATGCAATACAACACTGTGTTGTTCCGACAAACTCTTTTCAAGTGCAGGAATCCCAACGTATGCGACTTCGCGCTCGCCCTTCACTCGCCCTTGAAGGTGTCACGGGTCAGTGATTTATGCAAACTTAGCCTCTTTACTGAAGCATTTTCATATTTCATGCCACTTCACTAACACTTCTATGAATAACGCACGTATATATACTAAATTGTATCCCTTCTTTATTTGATGGACCATGTTTAAATTTTGCAATGCGTTTGCGAATTGCGCTGTTGTATCACCACACACATGTCTTGCAGCAAGGAGACCCGTATGCACAATCACGAATGAGAAAGACGACAGGTACACTGGCATAAACTTATTATGTTGATGCGTGCTACTTGAGAAATCGTGCTCTATTGCAAACATAGCACGAATCACATTCGTGGACGAGCAGGATGAATTGACAGCCCACCTATAGAACGTAGAGCACAGGCGAACGCGTATGCTTTCACAGAAATCTCGCCAAATTACACTATGTTCTCAATTGCATTTACCCCACTCCCTCTCCTTTTCTGTTCTTCCCACGGATTTTCAGGGGCCTCCAGGATTGTCGCACATTGATCATGCGATGATATCATTTGAAGAAGCCATCACGAGATGTCCTAACGTGGTGTGATCAATATCATAACATTACTACAAACACTACTGCTGTAATCGCTTAGTCACATGACTTTCTGGTAACATTCGTGTTCTCGACGCCACCGCATAGTTTACCCATGAGACATAAAAGTACAGTGATAAACCATGACTTTTCGCGCTATGGTTTCAGGCCATCACATTTTTTTAAAGCGTGCTGCTGGCACTCTGCATTGCACGCAGAGAGATATCGAAGGGCCAGGATCGGTACGCGGTCAAAATCATCGCCAAGAACCAGACGTCGTCGGATTTCGTGAACCGGTTCCTTCCGCGCGAGCTGGACATTTTGCCGCGCATCGAGCACCCGAACATCGTCAAGGTCTTCCGCATCCTGCAGGCGCGAGAGAAGGTCTTCATCATTATGGAGCTGGCCGAACATGGCGACCTGCTGGACCACATTCGGGTGAGCACCGATAATCAGCGCCGCCTTCTGGTCCGCGACGCAGTTGCGTCGTTGGCCACTCGTTTAGTGCATATACAGACCACACAGGAACGTTTGGCCCGCGACAAAACTCGCAGTTATCCGGACAGTCCAGCGAGTTTCGTATTCTAAAGGACGTCATACAGGAAGTTCCACTCGCGGACGCATGCGAAAGCCACGTGACCCATGCAGAAAACGTCGTTTACGATGTCGTTAAGGCTTGACTACACGCACCCGCTGCAGCGCATCAGCTCGACGCTTCCTGACGCGGCGCCGCGCCCCGTTCTAATAGAGAAGAGGGCGCGTTGCTACGCAAAGCTGCGCGCCCACTCTCTCCACAGGCGCGGCACCGACGCGCTGACGTGCTGCCACGGTTGCGTGTGGTCAGGCCTTTAGCACAGCGGCACGTCTGTGCCCTCCCTGGTATTATTGTGTGCAGTACTGTTGTAAGCGTGAGACGGCACGTCCTAGGTTGCTGGCCTGCACAGTGACACTGGCATAATGGCGATAGTAACCCAACACTAGACGAAACCTTCCGTGTCGTTCAAAATGTTACGGCGGTAATACGACGTTAAATGCGACCTTTCTGCTAAGGTGACTGCGACCGCAAGTTTTCTACTACGCTCTTCAGGATGTAGAAACGCGCCAGTTCAATAGTGCACGGCAATGTCTCGAGGTATTACTTGAATCGACGGAAACGGCCACAGATGAAGCTTGACAAGAACAGGAGACGGACACCTGAGCAAGAGTCGGCGGAACACCTTACAACATAAAAAGCCATATCGTCTGAAAGGCCGCATCTATTGTGTGTAGTAACAGTGTAGCTGGCGTAGCTATAGCTTCTGCCATAGACGTGAATGCTATTAGAGAGTAGACGTCTATTCATTATTTATAATGTTATTTAATATAATTTGAAGGCGCAACAGCAAATGCTTCTTTATGGTCGAAAGTTTTCCTATCGCTTGGAAGCTGCATGGAATAACGCAAATACTGTTTGCACGCACGCAGAACCACGGCCGCATCAGCGAGGACAGGGCGCGCCGCTATTTCGGCCAGCTGGCCAGCGCGCTCAACTACCTGCACGGCAAGAACATTGCGCACAGGGACCTCAAGTGCGAGAATGTGCTCCTCAAGGACGAGAACACGGTTAAGCTTACCGACTTCGGATTCAGCCGATTCTGCCGTGAGTGCATTACGTCCAGCACATCCTTTACGTGAACGGGTTCTTCCTGTAACCACGAAGCGTTTACTTCGTCAATGACTGTTTATTGTCTATACGCGTTTCACAAAGTCAACTGGACGGAATACTGTCTGGTCGGGGAATAACATAGACGAGGAAATACAAAACACCAAATAAGTAACAAGTGTTTTTATGAGAATTGACTGAGATTTGAACTCTAGTACGTGGCAGGTGACGTCACAACGACCGTTTAGGATATCAGAATGGCTCGAAAGAGAGCACGCGGGCAACTGTTGGTTTACGCGAAGTCGCGAAGCTCCGAGCGAACACACATCCGGCGCCTCGCTACTGCCCTTGGCCACCTTCACGCCTGCCACATTTGCGCTCCGGCTCAAGGTAATTGCAACGCGATAAATGACCTTGGGAGACGACGTAGTGCGCATTAGTTCTAATAAAAATTGACACGTTCCTGCCCTACCACGGGTACCTCGTTCAGAAAAAAAAAATTACGAAGTGGCCTTTATATGAATACATCTTTACATTTGTTCTGCTCAGTGCGCTTTCCTGCCCGCGGTTACAAAGTAATTCGCGGCAGAATTTTCGAATATCCATAGCTTTTCTGCACTGTCAGCTTTCGAGATGTGCATAGCCTTTCCAGCTTCGTAAACACTACTTTCGCAATTTGCCAGCCCTCATAACGAAACGGAATGAAAGATGGAGCGTCAGACGAATGCGCCATCGAAAGGCCATCTCTCTTGAGATTGTTGCATCGTTTTATATCGAAGAGAACTAGATTTGTTAGCGCGTACATAGTGCAAGTATGTCAAGTAGGGAAACAAAGATGTGCGTCCTCTCGGGCGAGATATGACTACCCTCATATTATTTGTTTGCGTACGGGGCAGCCATGTAAGCAGGTTCTGATCGCTAGTACGGCGAGCGATATCGGGCGGTAACTGCAGCTTGCGCCGTGGTCGCGAACAACGTTTGATATGTTCGCAATGGACTACACACTGCAGGCGTTAGCAGAAAGAGAGTGCAATCTAGCAGCGCTTGTCTACCGGCCACAACTCGTTATTTTTTTCGGCAACAGATGACGCTGAAAGCGAACGTACATGTTTCCTTTTGCTGTCGGTTGATGGTGCAGTAGGCAGCCGCCGCAGAGCGCAGGCCACGCGTTCGCGTGTTCCCTTTCATAAACGACGACAGTGTGCATAAAGGGCCCGTGAATACCCTATGTTTTCGAAGTAGAAAATGTACCGAGCAAATACGTATCCGGTCAAGAACGGACACACACAGGAAACGGTGAGGACAGGAAAGCGGCAGGATTCTTCGCCCTTTCCCCTATTCGACTGTTTCCGGCTTCTATATGGAGAGCACCAACTAACCCAACAACGTGTCATCTGAGAAAATGAGTTTTTTTTTTTTTTTCGAATAGAAAACGGAGCTGTAGACATTCCAGCCAAATTTCGTGGTCGTGCGTGAACCGCTAGCGACCATTTCCCGATAACGCCGCGCAGATTGCCACAGAACACCGTTATTGGTCAATTGATGAGAAAGAAAGCAGCATAATTGGATATGTCTCGAAATCACGCAACTGCGAGAAACCTCTATTGGCATCTATCTGCTCAACCTTTGCCACGCATCCCCCAATAGGAGCGCAAGGCAACCGTCCACAGGCAGCGCGGCATCCCAATTTTGAACGGAGCGAATCACGTTATGGAAAATGGGGTTTGATGGGTGAACATCACACGCGTATTTATTTACGATCGTATTCAAAAAAATATTTCTGTGCTACGTTATCACGATTGCAGTTATAGGGATACCACGTGCAAAAACAATTGCCATATTATGGGGTTGGAAGCGGGCTTTAGTCTTTTGGGGCTGCTTTGGGAGCATGAATGACGCAATGATGCGGTTTCGGAGCAGTAAAAAGGGAGTTTTGGAGCAGCTCTGGAGCAACAAAAGGTCTGATTCGGAGCATCGAAATTCAGTTTTGGAACAGATTTCTCGGACCGCACATCACTGTTAATTAGGATTTTTGCTTTCCGGTAAACACATAACATTTCAGTGGTTTTTACTAAGCATGCGATGCTGATCAAGCGACCATACTTACACGGAATTCATATACATTAAGCCTTAGATCAAAGGTGAAAGCGCAACAACACAAAGAAGAAAAAGACAAAGCGGCGTTGTGGATACCTACTAGACCTCAAAACGAATGAAAAAAAAAATTAATGTTAAAATGTTGCAATGTTAAAAATGTGATTAAAACACCGCATCCGACATGAACAGCAACTCAAGACTAGGGACGAGCTATTATATAATAAAAGTTATTCTCAAGCTAAACTTCTAGAGCTCTATAAAAATAAATGTAAAAAAAAACTTATGTTCCAGTCATTGAAGTGCCACAGCCGACATGAGAACCACGAGGAAATTCGGATGCGCTCGCATTGCTAAGCAATAGAGCAATTTTTTTTACGATAGGAATTACAAGGACACTCGACCGGTTTTCGCCGTCGCCACCATGTTCCGCGTAAAGTATGCATAGTTGGTACCATTTCCCGCGCATTCCCGCTTGACCCGCGTGTAAAATTGCACAAGCTAGGGTGACGAGCACTGCTCAAGCATAGAGTAAACGAGACAGCCGATCTCCGTCACTCGGATGGCGCACCCGTCAGCACCCCACCGCGTGTTAGAACTGCCGTCGAATGCTCGAGCAGAGAGGAGAAACACCACCCGTCTTGAACGAGCACGAAAAGACACGGGGGAAAGGAGGGTCATTCGAGCAGCAGTCGTGAGCTTTGATTCTAATCGGGGACGTGGTTACGATTGCTGGCGCGCGCGATATCATCATCATCATCATTTATTTGACCCTTAAGGGCCCCTTAGGGGCATTACATAAGGGGGGGGGGGCATTTTTCTAAATACAAAATGAAGGGAAAAAAATAGAAAGTTGTACAAACACCCGAGCAATACTTTTGCAGGATCCGAGAACAGGCGCACAGAAAATGTACTTATACAAGTATAAAAACATGCGTGCACAGAATTTACACATACAAGAGCGCAAAATAAAGTGACGGTGGTAGAGTTTTAATGGGCTTCCAAGTTTAAGTGAGCTGTTAATAGTTGTTTGAATGCGCATGAGTCACGCTCTGAGACGATGGCTTCCGGTAAGTTATTCCATTCCTCGATGGCGACAGGAAGAAATGACTTATTGAATGCAACGGTCGTACCGAAAAGACGTTGGAGGCTTCTGGAATTAAATAGCCGGCGAGAATAGCGGGCGGGAAAAAGCAAGAGAGAACCATGCAAGTGAGGAAAATAATAGTATAATTTGTGAAATAAACAGAGTCGAGAAAGTATACGTCTGTCAGCTAGATTCTGCAAGTCTAAAGACTCCTTTATAAAAGTGATGCTTGATGAGTGAAAGTGATGCTTGATGATGAGAGATCGGCAAGCATCAGCGCACGGCTCGCAAACCGTTCTATGTGGTGCGCTCGGAATTGGAAGAAATTGTGGGATAAGAGCATTTCTCCCTGGAGCGGACGTACTTATATTCTCTCACACCAGCGATGTCGGATCCATAAGAGTTAGCTGTCAGCCTTCGTATTGTCACTGGGTCATGAAGTCGACGAAGGCAGCGGTGGCTGTTTTCATGAGTAAACTTTTTATTCGGGCTAACGTGCGCCCGGAAAAAGGAAACGGTCACTCTACAAGCAATCGTAGGTCGGCAAAACTTGCGGAGCTCACTCAGGCTCACTCGTGGTGCATCTTTTGAGCTTCGAAATCACCCAGACTCCGACTCGCGGAAATTTTCCTGAGCCGGACTCGCTCGGACTCGCACTCACGATAATTTTATTCAACCGGACTTAGACTGACACTAACGAAAATATCTTAGGCTCACGGCTCGATCCAAGTTGAGTGAGTCCGAGTTAGTCGACCCATGAGTGAGTTCGCTGACCTGTGCGAGCAATACACGGTGTAAACTGATAGCAGCGAACGTAGTGCGTCGCCGTCGATAATCTGCCACGCAATGAAGTGCGCCGGCATTTATACATGTGCCATCGAAGATTCCGGCATTACCACTAGCGGCCGCGCAAGTTCCAGAACAAACTGCAATGTACGTGTTGTGCGCGTAATCTCATCGAAAGGTTCTAAGGTTACCTAGATGGTCCCCAGTCATTCGGGCACGGTTTGCGCGAGGCAGCGTTACACGCGTATAGGTGCGGTAACAATAATAAAGAAAGAAGCACGTGCGGTATCACCATTATAACATTACAAATAGTCGCTATTGCAGTCACCACTATACGCCGGTGACTGATTTTTTTTTTTCAATTTGTATGGCAAAAAACTCTCCACACCATTGACGAGCAACCGCCAAGCACAGCACGTACTCAGCGGTTGCTCGTCAACGGTGCAGCGAGTTTTTTGCAACAGCACTGCCGTCTTTATAGCTTGCCTAACAGATTCACTGCTAAAACACACATATAGTCGCATAATTAGGTATACACACAAGTGCCACCTTAACAAGAATCATGCATTGTTTTCACGTGGCGCAAGATTCATACATGTTCCGAAATACGTTTGATATGGGTGTCGAATTTTTATGGACCCGGTTGCGTCCTTTGTGTAGCCCTCGCGTGTTACTCGGTCGATGATGAAACTCTCGACTAAATTTGGCGTTGCATGTGCAAATTGTCGTTTAGGCGCGGCTTGGCGCAGCATGGCGCAATTGGCGCAGCACTTCCGCACCAGCATGATATAGGTGTTGCCATGGTGTTTTGTATTAAAGAACAAGAGTGATAAATTCATAATGGAATAATTGGAAGCACAAACTAATGGGACACAAGAGAAGAAACAAACAAGCGCAAACTGCGCAAACAAACTGCGCTTGTTTGTCTCTTCTCTTGTGTCCCATTGGTTTGCGCTTCCAATTATTCCATTATGAATTTGTACCAACTAGCCCGCCTGTCGACCCTACTGATAAATTCCTACCTCGTCCTGTACGTGGCAAGTTGGCAAACAGACGGCTCTATACCAGTGAAACAGGCGATAGCATAGGAACTCCAAGACTCGTAAATATACATTAGACAACTACAAGGGCTATTGAGGATACGCTTATGCAGCCGTCTGCCTCCTGTGTGGACACTCATTGATTCACAAATCTTTTGACCATACTAACGGACCAACATGCTCTAAATGCTGGGATCCACCGACACTGCTTACGATAGAAAGCGGTGTGGCCGACACCACTTTTCATGTCGAAACCAACGTTACGCTTGTCTCTTACGCAGATGACCCGAGCGGCAAGCGCGTGCTGAGCTCGACGTACTGTGGCAGCGCCGCGTACGCCTCGCCCGAGGTGCTGCAGGGCATCCCGTACAACCCGAAGATGTACGACGTCTGGTCGCTGGGCTGCATCCTGTTCATCATGGTGACAGGCACGATGCCCTTCGATGACACCAACATCAAGACACAGATCCGGCTGCAGATGCACCGCGACGTGCGCTTCCCGCCAAACTACTCGATCAGCTCGTCCTGCAAGAGCCTCATCCGCCACATGCTCGAGCCGGACATTGTGAAGCGCGCCACGCTCAAGCAGGTGCTGCGGCACCAGTGGCTCGAGGAAGGCGTCGCCATCATCTCGTGAAAATGGCTGCCGACGCGACACACCGAGCTCGCCTGCCCTTCTTCACTCGCTCGCTCTTGTTCCTCGAGTAGTCGACACGACGTGATCAGGCGACTCAAAAGTGTGTGCCACGCGTGATCAGCAACACTCAACCGCTGGCGTGCCTATGCGCCAGCGGTGCTAAATTCCCGCCAGCCATCGCAGACGCCGACAAGTACCACCCAATAAAGCCACACCACGTTAAAAAAAAACACAAGCTAGTTCTTATGGTTTCTTTGATGAATATAATAGGAATGCCAATTTTTCTAGCTCTGTGCTGCCTAAAAAAATTTCTATCGGAAAGCACTTCTAATTACTGCACAATATATGAAGAGCGTAGTTTAACGAGTGCCATTGTGACATCTGTGACACAGTGACATCTGTGTTGGTGTCATGGTTGCGTAAGGTTAAAAAAGTGAAATGTTTCACAGGGCTGTCGCTTTCCCCTAGCTCACTCCTACTGCTGCAGTAGATGATGCAGAAATGTGCGCCATGCTCGAAGAGGAACACCTGAATGCACCAAGCGCCCGCGGCACTAAAATACTGCCAGTCATCACAAATGCCAAGCACTACGCAAAAAAACGCCAGGCCTGCGCAGAAGGCGCAGCAGAATCCAGCGAAAGAATCTCCGTAAACACTTATTGGGTAAATGCTGCAAGCACACTTACTGGGTACCCACTATGCATTTAATAATTTCTAGGTAGTAGGCCAGCATTCACTATGCTATCCATAATTTTTTGGGGAAGCATGGTATCCACTACACGAATTTTGTGCAATTTTTTATGCAGTAGCTGACGACGAATTATACCTGAAGTGGGTATGGGCCACAGTTAATTGGTGACCAAAAACAAGTTGTCTAATGGGTTGGAGCACTGCACGGCCCACTTGTTAGGCAATTCACACTGAATAATGCCTGGTTGTTCTGATATCAATTTTAAAATGCTTTATTACTCATATTAACGTGATTCTTTTCCCGACATCAAACATGCCTAAGGCCAGTTTAGAAACGAGTTCCGAGCAATGGCGTGGCTCAGGGCTAGATTATTGGGCTGGCATGCAGCAGACCTATGTTGGAATCCGATTGTGTCATTGGTGTTTCTTATTTACAGAGTTTCTTTTCTTATTTTTTGCGATACCGGTTACAGAAACCAGCAGCAATTATGGTGCCGCACGCTACCCGTGTTGTGATCTCATAACAGCTTTCGCTGTAAAAAGCCCATACCACGTCAAAAAAAATAAAACTGAGTTGACTCCGCAGTCAAGACCTATAAACACTGCTGTCACAGTGAATGCTGGAACAGCGGCATTTCTAGAACCCATTGTAAACTAATGCAAGTGCACTTGCAAGGTACCCACTACACTGTAAATAATGAATTTCTGTCAAGACGGGAAGCACCCACTAGGCCGTTACCTATTCTGCGGTGAAGCGAGGTACCTGCTATGCATTAGCAAGGCAATATGTACACTTTGTTGAAGTGGTGGCTGATGACATTGAAGAGTTATGGCTGAGCCATTTTAGTGGGTTGGAAGCATTCAAGTCAAGCCAAGATCGTTGACGATGTCTGGTTCCGAAATTCGCATTGTGTGACGCCTCCTTTTCAATTTACTCCTATACCACGTTATATTACATATGTTACCAATATTCCTTCCAATTTAATGCCTGTATAGTGCCGTTCTTACAAAGCTATGCAAACTGGCACGGCCCTGCGATAGAAATGGGCTGCCGTGGGCTGCCATGAAGAGGACCCATGTTTGGGCCTTGTTTTGTCCTAGATATTTCATTTCACACGATAGCGGTTACGGACAATGACTGCGGCAACGGACCACTACGGCGCCAAAAACAGCCCTTGTTCTGATCTCATAACAGCTTTCACTGTAAAATAAAACGCGAGCTTGCTCTCTGGTTTCGTTTACAGAAATGAAGCAAGTGAAGTTTCCGCGCTCAGTGCGGCCCGAGCAATGGAGTTCAGAAAGTGCTCCTATTTATATAGGACGTAATGCGTGCACAATTAAAGAGTAAAACAACGAGTACGGTGCAGTGTCACAGCTACTCTAAGTGATTTCTCGTTTTAGATGACAAAACCAGCTAGTCAAGCTGCAGATATTGCAGCATTTACCCTGCTATCACCACCATAAATTGTACATTATAATGAAATAAGCCATATCTAAAAATCAAGAAGCGAAGCTATAGTGGGCGACGTCAGGAATTTTGCAAAAGTGGGTCTTAAGCAGTGGGTTTTAATCCATCAAGCCAGCTCGGCTGCGACTACACCTTCCATCAATGAAATTTGATCCACGGAGCAGCGGATTGGAGGGGGATGGGGAAGAAGACCACCCAGGGGCATTTCTAACAATTTACATTTTACATTATAGTGTTTACACACGAGCAAGCCTTCCACGAGGGCTTAATACTATAGGAACTAATAATACTATAATTAATACTATAGTCTGTGAAATTGCTTAAGTGCAAATGATGCAGAGTTGCTATGACAACACTGAAAGACTGGCAAGCCTGGTTTTCTTTCATGAAATTTTGAAAGCAATATACACCTTTTCACAGAGGAAGCATCAAAGCAGTGAAGAGGAAACTTGGGATAGGCAAAAATCGGATGTATGCACTAAAGGACAAAGAAGGCAGAATAACTACCCATATGGATAGGATAGTTAAAATAGCGGAGGAGATTGTTACAGAGATCTATACAGTAGCCGGGACAACCACGACCTTAATACTATAGGAACTAGCAGTAACCTAGATGACACCCCACCAGTAATGATAGAAGAAGTCAGAAAAGCCTAGGAGAGCATGCAATGAGGCAAAGCTGCTGGTGAGGATCAGGTAACATCAGATCTGCTCAAAGATGGAGGACAGATTGTGATAGAAAAACTAGCCACCCTGTTTACTAGGTGTCTCCTGACGGGAAAAGTACCAGAGTCTTGGAAGATTGCCAACATCATCTAATACATAAGAAAGGAGATGACAAGGACTTGAAGAATTACAGGCCGATCAGCTTGCTCTCTGTAGTATACAAGCTATTTACAAAGGTAATTGCTAACAGAGTAAAGAAAACATTAGAATTCAATCAACCAAAGGAACAAGCAGGATTTGGAACAGGCTACTCAACAATCAACCACATTCATACTATCAATCAGGTAATAAAGAAATGTTCAGAATATAACCAACCACTGTACACAGCCTTCATAGATTACGAGAAGGCATTTGATTCAGTAGAATTATCGGCAGTCATGCAGAATCAGGGCGTCGATAAGGCATATATAAACATCCTGGGAGAAATCTACAGGGGATCAACTGCTACCATAGTGCTTCATGAAGAAAGCAACACAATACCAATCAAGAAGGGTGTAAGGCAGGGGGATAAAATCTCCCCAATGTTATTTATCGCATGCTTCTTTCCACAGAGGCAGCGTGCTGCAGTCTGTGAAATTGCTTAAGTACAAATGATGCAGAGTTGCTATGACAACACTGAAAGACCGGCAAGCCTGGTTTTCTTTCATGAAATTTTGAAAGCAATGTACACCTTTTCGTTCACGGGCATCAAAATTTTATCGTAAACCGGCAATTTCGTACGCCACTGCATACATAATATGACTGCACTGGCGAAGAACAAAGGCAGTAATCTCACGCTTGACAGCGACACACTATAACAAGAAACCCTGTTGAACCTGCGTCACTTATGTGAAACGCTGCTGCTTAACTTTTGCTAATGTAATTTCGTTCTCCTACAAAGATGCATATTCTTTTGGAAAGCTGATATTGCCACAATAAGAAGAATGCTATCGCCCTATTTTATGTTTGTAAACAGCGGTAGGCACCGTCAACACACTGAGGCGCTTGAAGCGATGCCGGGGTGCGCAGGCTCCACCCAGTTTAAAGCTAGTCACTGCCGTCTGTGATCACGTGACAACAAGCCCACCAGCTGCAAAGCTACCCCAAGTACAGCGCGCAGGAGAGCCTCCCCAGTGCGCTGTGCGCCGCGACGCTGCTACAAGTGCCTCATTGTGTCGATGGCACCTACTGGTGTTTACAAACGTGGAATAGGTCTATACAAGGAAACTATCCGAAAAGTCGAACTTTGACACTTTATTAAAAATTGAAAAAAAAAAACACTGCAACAATCACGCACAAGTTAAATATATCATCACTGTGGCTGTGGTTGCTTGAAGGCGATCTTGAAAACTACATACATAGGGTTTGTGACATCCACTACCAAGAGTTCTTGGCCGTCAACGAATCCCAGTTCTGGAAGCAGACAACACTCAGGTAAGCTTTACAAGTCAGAAACAGCTTGGCATATTATGTGCCCTCCTGTGTTTGATTACTGACAGTCACAGTGTGATTTCGTATTGTTTTATTATTTCCGTGACCACCCCATAACTTGCGGCCTAAGTTACCTTGTTTTTCTTCTTTCAATAATGCAAACGTACACGCAAATACGATACCAATGCACTTTTTTTTTCCTTTCACCTATTAAAATGCTGCACCTAACGCACTGGTGCATAGGGTGGTGCACCCTTTACAGGAAAACACCAAAGTCTACAAGTGATAGGTCTGCAAACCTGCGTAAGGTCCGCACAATTCTAAAATATACCTTTGCTGACTTAAGAATGGCTACACATGCAAATATTTCGTCTAGTCCGAATGACTCCAATTGAAGAAAACCTTAGTGAGTATGAGTTTGAGTGAGTCTTCTTGACTAAAACATTGGTGAGTATGTGTCAGAGGTATGTTTCATGAGTGAGTCAGAGTGAGCGCAATTTTTTGCCGGCCTATAATTGTTCTAAATGCCAACAATAAATTTAAACAACTGCACTGTAAAAGAAATGCATGTTCTTAAGTGCTACTCGACTACTGCATGTTGTCGATATATTCCTATGGGTAAAATTTTTTCTAATGACGTTGGTGATTTCTTTTTTGCAGCATGTGTAAGGGTGCGTGCGTGTTCACTTTCTTATCACCAATAAGATGTGATGTGTG